GGGACTATATAGGGTTTAGGGGTTGTTTCGGGGTTTAGGGCTTTAAGCGCTTAGGGTCTAGGGTGCTTCTGAAGGAGGGGACCCCAGATCACCCCTCCAGTCCCCAGATTAGGTAGTACTGTTGATGGAGGAAATCTTGCACCACCTTAAGTCCCTAAAGTCCTAGGAATTACAATAATTTAGGGCCCCCAGGTGGTGCAAAATTTCATCCATCCACAGTATCAGGGTGATATTGGGGTAATATTAGGGTTACATCGGGTCTATATTGAGGTTCCCGAACTTCAGGACCATCGCAGCCCTTTGGTTTAGCTGTTCCAAGGCAGGTTCGACAGTCAGCTTAGAGAACCCTACGGATAGTCTATTGACGTCCTTGCAGAATGTTTGTGCGTCAGCTGCACTCTTTCACCGACAGTCTGGGTAAATGGATCGGTCGCCTCCAGAACGGAAGGTCATCAAAATTGTGGTCCCTCTTTAGGGTCCTGGGTATATTACGGCCTCTCATGCTCAGGGTACCAAAAAAAGAAACAGGTTGATAAAACTACTGGGTGTTTCAGGGCTTTTTCAGGGCTTCGAGGGTTCTGAAGGTGCCCGAACCATAAGAATGTCCATGTTCTAGCGCATACGAAAACCACAGCATCCATGCCCACACCATAGTAACGCCCATGTTCTAGTGCATATGAATGATATTCTAAACTCCTGAAAGGGGGATATATAGGGGATTGTATAGGGGAGTAGTGTAGGGGATATTAAGGGGGATACTAGGAGTTTAGACTATAGCTCATATGATAACCAGAGCACCCATGCCAAAACCATAATTATGTCTCAGCGCTTCCCCTTAATATCAAACCACCCCTAAAATTATATACGGGTTGGCCAAATTTCCAAATCCTGAAATCTGCCCCCAAGACTATTCTTAAAAGGGCCAAGACTAAAGTTAATTGCGTCTCGGATCCTTTGAATTAGGGGGGGTTTGGCAGGACTCTTAAGGATTGGGGATCTCCTTGATTTTCTACATCTTGATTGTTGTTGAATGGTGTTTATGAAGGACTTTGGGCTGAACAATTCCAACAACAAATTCCAAGGCCCTAATTTGAACTGGTCCCCCTGAATAAGGCCCTGATTCCTAATTTGAAAGAGTCCCTAATAAAGACCTAATTTGAAATAGTCCCTTTTATAAAGCCCCAATTTTGAATAATCCCTAATAAGCCCTGACTTGAGATAGTCTTTAATAAGGCCTTAATTTGAAATACTACCTAAGAAGGCCGTAATTTGCAATAGTCCCTTATGAGGCTCAAATTTTAGTCCCTAATAAGACCCTAATTTGAAACAGTCCTCAATTTGACATAGTCCCTAATTAGGCCCCGATTTGAAATAGTCCCTAATAATGAATGACCCTTATTCAATTTAATCGAAGTTTGTAAGTTTTTATCTTATTTAATAAGATTTTAATTGCCACACCCTTATGGTCGAACTGTACGATAAATACCACCCCCTGATGTTAAATACGAGCGGGAGTATTGACCTTGCGGGGGGGGGAGACGTTTAATATTAGGGGGAAAGGATCATGTTCTAGCGCATACGAAAACCAGAGCATCCATGCCAAAAACGGAATAACGTCCATGTTCTAGCGCATATGAAAACCAGAGCATCCGAGCCCAAGCCATCATAACGTTCATGTTCTAGCGCATACGAAAAACTAGAGCATTCGTGCCCAAACCATACTTAATAACGCCCATGTTTTAGCGTAAACGAAACCAGAGCATCCATGCCCAAACTATCTATCAGCTGATATCTTCAAGCTCTAATATTTTCTATCTTTCCCCTTCTGTCTGTCCTTATATAGCACCGAAATCGCAGTGCTAAATACATTCCTGTAACTAAGGGCGCCTTCCCTAATTCCCCCGTTGGTAATCGGGTCTTCCCTTCAACTTTCGAATCTGTCCGAAACGCAGGAGAGAACACGTTCAGCAACCTGAAACCACCAGGTTTTTCCTGTGCGTGTATCCAGCAAAAAGGGTCTTGACTTTGACAATCCCTTAACCCTGCATATCACAGTATCCACTCCCCTATCTACCCCTATAAGCTTGACAACCCCGCCCATATGCTGTCTTACTTTCTTTTGCTACAGGCAGATCATCGGGCCTCCAAGTTGATGATAGCCGCCAATGATGGAGAACCAAATGGGAAAGACATGAGACATGAAATAGAAACGGGGCTTATATCAGGGCTGTTTAGGGATACTTGCCAATATCATGGATTTCATGTTTTGGCTTGGCCAGCAAGGGACCAGAAGCCAAGACGCGCAGCAATACCCAGCATGGAATGCTCAAAGAAGCAGCTCGCAATGTCCCAGGACGCCCCTTTACGGCAAATAGAGTGAAGAGCACTACCTGACGAGGAGTCCTTCCTTGCCAGACACCCCAGCTCCCCCCCATTGTTTTGAGAAACAAATCCTGTTCTGCCTGCCAGGCCTTGATTTGATGGGATTGTGGAAGGCTGCACCATATGAAACTTGAGCAAACCCGGGAAGACTCTGAGGCCCAAGTGAAACGCTTCATCAAACCAGGCTTCGACAACAGGTTTTCCCAGAAGTTTTCGACATCGTCCATGTGCTCTCGCTGCCTTGAAGTGATTGCTAGAGTGAGTGCTGCGATCAGGCGGCATCATACTCAAGAGGTACAAGCTTTGGACGACTATTGCTATCCAGGCCTCAGCTGGGTGGTCTGGCTTTTGGGGGTTCTTTTTAAGGGAAGCGTTTGCTGGCGGGAGGATTGCTTGTTTGTCATGTGGTGGCTCGGTTTGAAAATGGCGTTCTTGAAGATCGCGGCTGAAGCTTGCCTTTGCAGGCACGCCCAGAGCGCACCATGAGCTGGACGGCTATGTCCATACTGACCCACATGATGCTTTCGACTTGTCGCTGCCCGGCTCACGAAGCAAGGGGAGCATGAAAGGCCATTGAGAACAATTAAGACCAAAAAGTAAAAATACTCGTGTGAAGGGCCTGTTGATGAGTCGTAGCTTGTGAGCTGGTCTTCCACACGTTGTACCTGAGGTCTGTGAACGGCTCGGAAAGCAAGTGCGAAGACCCAGGTGCAGCTGCAATCTGTTATTAACACATGTTGGTTTATTCTTCTAGTCATGATTGCTGCTGCTCTGTTGCAATGTGTGTCATCATTTTTTCACATTTTTTCTTGCTCTGCTGCTTTCGTTCTGTCTCGTACTCTTGTACATTTGTATCATGCTTCGATCAGGCAGCGTCTGACTACGTAGAGTCCTATAGTGGCCTACACGTTCCATTTATTTTTGCCCCTAATTGCTAGCCTTCTTTCCATTCTGATCTATACCGCTGTCCTGCTTCGTTGTGTGGCCAGGCTCAGACCGCGCCTCCGGGACTTCCCTCATGTCAAGCAGTAGCGGGGATGAGATGGCATCTCAAGTCTGAGCCCACGGCTTCCGGTGACTCAGAGCAAGGTTCTCGATCTTCCAGTGGGTACGGATCAACAAGTAGTTGTGGCGTCGTACCACTGAGACTTGCCAGAATCGCTTTCTCATGCAATATATGAATTTATCGGGGTCGGCGAACCAGCCAAAGAGCTGATGCAACCTTGGCAGATCCGCCTCCTTGTAGCATCTGATGCTAGGCATCTGCTGCAACTGCGCTTAGCCGGACCTGTGCAAGCTCAGTCAGAGCTCAGATACATGCAGGCGCATAAATATGCACCCTGTAGCCAAGCCGAATGTACAGAGACACATGTTGCAGCTTCTGCGCGAACTTGCCTGATGGCGAGCTTCATGCCCAAGACTGCCAAACAGCATCACGCCGCTAAGGTGGGCTGTCGACGCGCACTTGCGCTTGGAATGGCTAGTCAGCCAAGATCACTTAGTCTACGCTCTGTCCGACAGTTTCCATGCTGGTTGGCAAGAAGAAGGGCTGGTGTAGGGTCAGAAGTGCAAAAAACCTCACAGCGCCACAGATGCGCATTACGCTTGGGTCATCTCGTGATAAAAGCCGCGCTCAGGTCAGGAATTGTTGTCAAGACCATCCCACCTGCTCATCAGGCTCAAAATCCTTTGGTTCAAATCAAAGTAAGCTTGACTGAGGTGAGCTACTTTGGATAAACTTCTGTTCGCTGGGCTGCCTCACGAGGCAGGCTTTTTTGCTCTGAATTCATGCTTTCCAGTCCTTGTGCTTTTGCCTTCTCACCTCGCGTGTCTTGATGTCACAAGCATGGATCACAGCATCCCGCAGCTCTGGCCACAGCAGCCAGCAGCCAGCAGCAAGTCTCGCTTCATGAGCGGATTTAGCCGGCAGGGGCAAGCCACGAGACGGCCGCTGACTTCTGCAGTTCTGAGACCATGCTCGCCTTTGCTATCAGATGCCGCGTCGGGCTGTCTGCAGAGGTCACGCTCAGAGCCGCTTGCATTCGCCGCGACTGCTAGTGCTGGATTTGCTGGATTTGCTGGATTTGCTGGATCCACTGGGTCCCGTGGCTTTGAGGCCAGGCCAGGCCTCTTCGGAGCATCAAGGCCGAAAAGCAGAAGTTCTCCAACAGCAGGGGTCCTGCAGGAGAACACACGTGCGGAAAGTTGCGCGGCCGAGCTGGAGCGTGCTTTGAGGAAGGATGCGTCTGGCACTGGAAGTAGTGCTCAGCATGCTTCGGCTGAGCACGATTGGCCAAATGAAATGGCAGAGGTCACCTTGCGAGACAAGTTCCAGGAGGACTGGGACTTGGAGGGGTTTTGTTAGTTTATCTGTGGGTATCCATCCTTGGCCGTCTGGGCTGAATTAGGATTCCAGCCCTCTGTGCATCAGGGCTGTATATGCTGAGGGCTGCATGCAGCTGAACATATCACGTACGCATAGTGGCCCACAGAAACGTTTACCGTGAGGGTCCATGTACCCAATAAAGATGCCTTTATATAGGGGGGGAATCTAGGAACTAGGGTAGAGCTGCTGAGCTTCTTGGCTTCTTGCTCTCCTTGGACTTTGTGGCTTCTTGGTCTCGGCTTTGCCTCTAGGGGCCCGTTGGCCTCAATGGCTCTCCTTACTAATGCCGCTGCTGCAACTGCTGCTGCAGATTCTTCTGTCGCTGGTGCTACTACCATTGCCAGAACCACCACCGCTTCCGGAGCCACCGGAGCCACTGCGACCAACATACCCACGAAGACCCCACAGACTAGTGTACTCTTGTCAATATGTTAGCAAAAATCTTGTTTTTTTGGCTCCATTTGTTGTTTTCATTCGCTGCTGCTGCTGCTGCTGCTGCTGTTGCGCTAGTATCATGAGTAGTTTGCATAGCACGACAGCGGCGGCGGTGGCGGCGGCGGCGACGACGACGACGACGACTACTACTACTACTACTCTTTTTCGCTGTAGTGACCTGAAGGAATAAAGGCTGCATAAGCAATTAAGCTCTGGTGATTTTCTTTGAAAGCATTGGATAAGTTCGTCCAGGACAAAAACTAGCCAGCGCTGTTATGAGGTAATACCCCCAGCAGGGAGCGACGTTTGTAATGACCCTACGTCCATAATCCTGAAATTCCTCTTTGCTCCTGCAGACCTGCGCATTCCTATTCCACCTACAGCTTTGTAGGAGAGCTTGCCCATAGTAGGGATCCAAGATGTAACACCAGAATTTCATTTCAGAAATCAAAGATATCTGCTTAGACAAATCTCCTGGTCCTACTTGCCAGCAGTAGCATGAACTGAATCTAGCTGAGCTACAATCCTTTGCAAATAGTCCCTGTGCAAAAGCCATCTTTCAAAAGATCCAATTTCTCCTTGCTAAGGCCCTTGCAATGGTTCTTTTGTAATGCGCTTAGGGGAAACCTCATATTGAGGTATACAGGAACACCTTAAAGTGAACCCTGTACTTGTGCCTACGACTCTTACTTGCGGCTATCCTATGGCCAAGTACTGATAAATTGAAGGTTCAAGTCCTTGTAGGCATTAACCCACTTTTTTTCCTTAGGCTGTACCACGGCCGGCGTATGTACATGGTCGAGCTTTCCAAGTTTGGTTATGGGATCTCGAAGGCATCGATATTACTCCTCGTGCGATTTTTGCCATTATTCTTCCTAGAAGGGTTGCCTGTGTTCATGGATTTGTTTGGGTACTATTGTTATTGTTGTCACAAATCCTGCTACATTTTGTTGACTCGGTCTGGTATTGAACTTGCAGTGCTGCGGCCATTCAAGAGCTCTAAGTGCAATACAGGAGATCAGTGCATTTTCAGCTGTAGCTTCCATTTCTTTTCCATTATCCCTACATAACGCATATCTTAAAACCCCTATGATATAGATATAACCCTATATTATATTACAACCCCTAGATTTGTTTTTGCTTACAACAGTTTCTGCAGCGTTTGAAAAGCTCCAGGTGATGCGACATGCCTTGCCCGAAGCTGTTGGAAAGCTGAACTAATATAGTATAGTATACTATATTTCTTTGAATGTGTTGTGTATATTGTGGTATGTTACGGTATATTATAGCCACAACTTGCAGTATCAGCAGCCTTTAAAGAGGATATCGCTGTATTTTATGGATCTGCAGTCTTAGCAGATTTCACAAACAATTGCAGTTGACGCAGGTTTCACAAGGTGTATGCCAAAGTCCAAATTTTTGCAATTGCATCATGCTGTGCATTCTTCCAGTCCCTTTGTTTATTTTGAAGAAAGACCTGGAGATTCCCGCAAAGCAAACCCACAAGACCCCAAAAGTACCTCGGCGGTCTGGACTTGAAGTCTGGATGCTGAGGATGTGGCAACTATGACGAGCAAGTTGGAATACCTTGCAAAGCATGCGCGCCTCGAGCACTTATCTGAGAGCAGCAAGAAAGAAAGGGAGACGGAGCGAGCAAAGCTCGAGGAGAGGCGAAATGAGATCGAGCGCCGTGCTAGGCAGCGAGAGCACTTCTCGCGGGATCCTCGCAAGAATGTGGCCCTCAAAGTCGAGAACCGGAGGAAGTTCGGATTTGAAAGTTGGAACTCCATTTCAGACAGCATCCCCATTTGCGAGGTGGACGCTGGCTGGAAAAGTGGCAAGAAAGTTGGACTAGTGGATGTTGCTGGCCTCAAAGCTCAATGTAAGCTGAGAAGCGGCGGTGCTTCATTGGAGGAGATGCTGGCCAGGCAGCCACGTCGAATGAAAGTCCGATGAAGTAACGCAACTTGTCCCGGCACAAGCATGTTCAGACTAAAGGTATTTCATAGCTCTGGAGGCAGAGCTGTGTTTAGGTAAGTTTCCTTCCTGTGGTTTCAAAAGTCTACTCTTGAAATTGTCGGTATTTGGCTCAGACGGCATTGTTTTGCTGAGCAAGCTATGCTTCAACTGTCTCCAGCTGCAAAGCGTCGTGGTCGACGCACAGGCGGTGGTGTTCGCCGGGATCACTCCCATCCAGAGGTTGCTGCACCAGCTGGAGATTCTCGTCAGTTCTTGTGCTTTTCCATGCCTGGGATTTATTGCAGGTAGAACTTACTTAGATTTTGCGACTGCTGTCTTTTTCAGGTGCATCATGATGCATGTCAGGAGTACTATGCGCAGGAAGAAGCAGAGAGATATCACCGCGTACCAAAAGCTGCCCGCGTGCAGGCAGAGCTAACTCATGCCGCTGCAACTTTGGGAGGTCTACTGCCTGCCGCCAACAAGGGCATCGTTCTTGATTTGGGTGCTGGGGGCGGCCTCAGCACAGTCACCTTTCAGGCCCTGGCTGCTCAGAGCGGCTCACCTCCCTTCATCCTGGGCTTTGACACGAGCTCACACATGCTGGCAACGGCTGCAGGGATTCAAGAGCCTTCCCTTCTTGGCATCCGGGTGCCAGGCATGTCCCCATGTGAAGGCACTGAAGTGGGGCACGTTGACATCAGTGAGGGAGTGCGATGGGTCCTAAGGCGTGGAGACCGGATCCTGGCTGACATGTCGCAGCCGCTTCCGTTGCGAGAGGACATTGCTGATGCAGTGCTTTCCGTCAGCGCAGTACAATGGCTGCTGGAGTTGCGCCCAGAAGCAGCTGGCGATCGAGCCAATTGCTCAGCAGCTGCACCGCAGGCAAAGCTCACAGGGCTTTTCAGTTCGCTTCGCAGGGTGACAGCAAAATCGGCCAAACTGGCTATGCAGTTCTACCCTCCCAAAGGTGATCATGACTTTGGAGCTAGGGTTCTGCAAGGTTCGGCCAGGCAGGCTGAGTGGGCGGATGCCGCAGTGGTCCTGGACTTTCCCCATCATCCTTCCTCACTAGCCAAGAAGTGGTTTCTTACAGCCAGCAGATGTCAAGAGCTACAGAGCCCAGTAGAAAGACCTGTATGGTGCGCCTTGTGCTGGCCAGTTGTTGTGGCATGCTGCGCACTACAATGCTCGGCCATGCAAGGGCCCAGTGCCAAAGTTGTACAAGATCGTGCTGAGCAGCAGCATGCCGAACTGGCTTTGCGCCTTGTAAGGTGCGGGAGGCGGCTGCAGACCAGTCCTGATGATGATGAAGCCGCACTAGGGATTCAAGCACGGCTGCAGCAACAGTTGCACCCTTTACAACTGGAGATGGCAGCTAGTCTTTTCCAGGCGCTGGAGACTTGCCGGCACACGCAAGACGTGCCTGACAGCGGCCAAGGCGGACCGAGCGAGGCAAAACGTGCAAGAGCTGCCAGCACAGGCGAAACCAGGACTGAGCTTCGCAGCGCGGTGTCATTATGCCTACCCAAATTACTTGGCGTACTGCACACGGCGCCAAGTCAACGGTGGCTTCTGCCTCCTCCACCACTGTCACAGGTGGACATTGCAGATGGTCTTTGAACACCTTCTGCCCTTTCCAGGATCTCTGCTCTCACATACACGTCCAATGTCCTTAAGCAGGTGGGATTGATTGCCGCGGTGCTGCGGAAGCATGCGGAAGCCAGAGCGACGAAGCCAGCAAGATCTATGTGCTCATCATAAGGACAGATGAGCTTGTGGAACGTTTGCATGAGGAACGGCTGTAGGCTGCTGGTGAAGATCTGCACTCACAAGGGCATGCTGACACAAAGGCGGCTAAAAGAGCCAACAGCAACCGGCCCATGGCAAGCCCCTGGCGCATTCAAGATACAGTGCTACAGTGTGAAGACGTGTGAAGCAGAGCAAAAAATAGTGCTAGCCGAGTATAGCGACCTAGCAGTCGCTTTTCGGGCTCAGATCAAGTCAGGGTTATCCGAGCGGTTTGGGGGTAGGCGTTGTAGGCCTGATCTCCTGTCTTTGCAACCTTGCTTGATGCCGGCTGGCAAAAAATGATCAGTGCTATGCACCTTTGTCTGTGGTCACTCGAAACATGATGAGGTAGCTTTTGCTTCAACTGGCTGATAGCGCCTGCGACACTGAGCCGAGCTTAGTCGATCTTCTGGTATGCTTTGACAGGCTTCTTTGAGGCTTAGGCTGAGGCTAAGGTCTGCAGTAAAACTATTTGTGACTTTGTGTGAATAGCACTCGGCATGTGCTGGGGAGCTTCCAGTCGCGACATTTGATGTAACAAAAGAAAAATGCGTGGCAATAGTAAAGTGCTGGCAAGGGCTCCCATCACGACTGCCATCCCAAGATTGATCTACAACCACCCAGAATGATTTTGCTTTCCTTTTCCACTGGCGCATGATGCGCCATTAATTCCGGACTGCAAACTTTGTCATACCCTTGGCTTTCTGTTTGGCCTGCTTCCGCAAATGCGGCTTTACAGCTGCAGGCACAGACGCATCTCAGAGCAAAAGGCGGCGGCGGAGAAAGGAAATGTGTCTCAAGTCTGTTGCATGCTGTCAAGCCAAAGCACATGTGAAACTCTTCCTTCATCATTACTCGTGATCGCGAAAATGCAACCTCCCCGAAACTCTCTGCCTCAGGTGGTGTCACAATGGCCGGCGCGACTTCCCCGGCCTAGGGTGTGAGACGACGTCCCTGCAGGCACCTTGGCCCTGCTGGACGTTTGCTCAGTACATTGAATTTGGTGCCTGTGTGGGTGGTCATATCCTTGACAAGTCAGCTGAAGAGCCAAAGCAGTACATTCCATCCTGAGTCCAGCGATTGCTCTTGGGTTTGGTTAATTGACTGGTGCGTGCTGCGGCTGTGATGAAAGGCCCAAGGTGCTCGCCAGGCCGTAGTTAGCGCTTTATGCACGCTCAGCTGTGCACAAGAAAGGAGGCAGAATGCTTCTGAATTCAACGATGAAGCTTGGCTACTTGGAGGGGTCTAAGCTAGACGATCTAGGCATGCACGTGGAGTCCCGACGTCCAACGCTGAAGTTGGATGAGAAGGGCTTCGAGGTTCCAGTGCCGCGGCCTGGCCGGACACCCTCAAGGCCGGGAAGCAACCAGAGTCAGGGCGGCCAGCGGAAGGACCCCCTATACCGGACCGGGTCGAAGGACAGGCCTGTATCACAAGGGCGAGTGTCCCTGAAGGGGACACGTGATGGCAAGCAAATGCAGCGCTCGCTTTCCAGGGACCTGGCACATACTAGAGACGGGTCGCTGAATCAACCTGGTGTAGTCGAAGCCTCGCCAACTTGGCAGCCGTTGGAGTGGACGCGCCCTCCTCAGAAAGACGTCCGCAGGGAGGGGGCATCTGTTTACTCAGTTAGCACTCCCGCGACACAAGGCTCTAGGGAGCACCAGCCACACCTGGTGCGCACCACTCGTATTGAGCCAGCTGCCAAGGGGTACGCGAATAAGCGCCCGCCAGTGCCTCCAAAGAAGGTTGAACAGATCACTGTGACAGAGAAAGATTTGCGCCGCTGTGGCAGTGACTTGCAGAAGCTTCGCGAGTGCAGCATCGCTGCACCAGCGAAGACTGTGGAAGACGTCCCCAAGCCGCCTCTCATTGAGGAACCTCGTCGTTTTGAGCTCTCCTTCAAGAGCAACTTTGCGAAGATTTGCCGAGAAGGGGCTGACCCCAGGGATCCCTGGGAGGGCCTGGGCCACCCAGACGAGCTCAGGGAGCTCACGGTGGAGGACTTGGTCCTGAACCAGGTGCTGCAGCTTCCTCCATGTTGTGTTCATTGTGCTGTTTTGATCGACAGGTCTACATCCATGCGCTGTCTCCGCGCAAGATCGAGTTTGAAGCGAGCAACTCCCCCGATCAAGGCCGCAAACCGAAGCTGCTGCGGAGTGCCAGCGCTTCAACCAGAGCCTTCCGGCTGGCACTCTGTGAGATGCTAGGAGGTTCATGTTAATAGTAGGTATTGGCCGCCATGATGCTATTCCCTTTCCTTGCGCTGCTGCACGGCTCGTCATGCTGTTTTGAAGTGTGGGGGAAAGTGTGCAGTGGCCAAGCGAAGAGTGAGCAAGGCCAGCTCCGCTGACGTGGCACTGCAGACCTGGCCCAGTGATGATCGACGGGAGGGCCGGCGCGCGCGCTTCCGGCTTCCTGGCTTAACATGGCTTGCCAGCCGTCCATGCTAGAAGATGCAATGCTCCAACACGGAAAGCAAGGATGAAGTGTCAAAGTCCGCATCAGTCAAGGCCAGGTCTCCCTCCGTCGGGAGAGAGGAACAAATGGTTCACCAAGCGGGCATCAAGCCTTGGCCCACGGGAGTCAAAGCTGCACATGTCTGTTCTCTTGCAGACTGCAGGCTTGTAAGATCTGTCAGCACAACTGGTGGCCAAGGATTCCGCTATTGAAGCGGCCGAGGGCGCGCCGCAATCTGCGAGGCGCTAGTTTTCTGATGACTTGAATTGGAGGGCAGAAGCGCAGATGTCGACGTGACAGTTGCAGGATTGAGGGTCCCATTCAGCCAGTCAACACTGACACCCCTCGAATAGCGAGGGAAGATGTGACTTGGCTGCAACCAAGATGCTCTCCAACTGAAAGAATGCCAGTGTTGTGCTAGCTTCTGCTTGAATTTCCGAACTTACCGGGTGGCACATGATACAGAAGCGGGAGTCTTGCCACCACTGTGGATTTTAGGTTTGATGCGCTGGTTTACCTCACATTTTTTACAGTGTATAGCAGTCAATCATGCTGTGCTTTGGTAGCCTATTTCACTGCAATGGCGACCAGAGCCAGCTGCCGGTGCACCAACACCGCCGCCACCACCCCCGCCACCGCCACCGCAACTACTTCCTTCACAGTTGGCAGCGAGTTTTCTTGTTTGACCCAGGAAACTCCACCGCACAAGCGCGCCATGAGGATGTTTCTGAAGGGTGCTGCGGGTCGAGGAGAAACGCGTGCCGTCGGCGACTCAAAATGATACTTCATGTCATGATTACAGGTGGTAGTGCAGGTGCCATTTGCTATCATGACTGCTGCTACGATTTGTATTGGCTGGCTGAACTTCCCAGCCTCTCCCCAGCCCTCCGCCATGCTTAGGAACCTTAGGAACGGGCATTTTGAAAGAGCGATAGAAATGTCACTTTCTGGCGGGACAATCAGAAAGAAAGTGGCAACCAAATAGCAAGGAGGGCTTGTGTCTTGACAGCTATGCGGAGGGCTTTGCAGCACTCTGTGCTCATGATGTTATGGTTGCGCTGCAAGGTTTGGCTAGCGCTTGACAGAGTCACTGGCGAGCTTGGGTTGCATCTAATACTGTACTTCTTGGATTGCTTGAGTTCCCATTTGCCTGCCATCCTCTACAAGAATTTCCCAAAACTGACCATGCGTTTGGAACATATCTGTTTTTATGCGTTGCGGAATAGACAGCCCCTAATCTGAAACCGATCCTCCTGGCATCTCCCTGTCTTTGAGGAGGTTCAGGTCTTCAAGAAAGAGGCAGGCGAGCGCCTGGAAGCCGCTTTCCGCACTGGACGGACGAGCGTGCCGTTGGCCGGCTTGGAGGATGCACTCGAAGCTAGGCCATTGTAGAACTGCTGTTCTGTGGTTCATTGATATGGAGGCTACATAAAATTTGACGTGAAACAAGGATTTTGAGCACTTTTTTATGGGTGGTTTCCCCTGCATGACCCAGGAAGGAGCTATTGCCGCTGGGCAACCAGCATTCAGTCTTGCTTTTTTACAGTTCCTCGCATCTAGGCTGTGGAGAAGGTCTTGCCGCAAGCCACGGGATATAATACAAGTGTGTCTAAGGAAGAACTGTTTTTGTTTTTTGTCATCCACTTGGGTTGCTGTGGCTCATGGATTGCCATGATTAGCAGTGATGCTGCGCTTGCAAGGTGTCTTTTGACAAGACTTTGCAGGGCTTCGCTCGCGTGCGCCATATGGATGGAAGTGAAGCTGATGTCCAGCGGTTCGAAGTGACTGCATACAGCCGCTTGGCAAGCGATGTCAGCCCGCACGCAGCCTCGCAACAAGTTGATCCACTTTGGTTCTATCAAGTTCTATTTGTTGCGAATTCATGGCTAGTATCAACCCAACCGGGCCTGGCTTCTTTTTCATCAACGAATATCAATGCCGTGGTCAGGTTACGAGATGACGGTTGAAGTGGTTGGGCCGCCTCAGGGTTACGATGCCTGGCAGTTTGCGACCAAGGGTGAGCACGGCCATGAAAGGTGCAGGGATCAGCAATCATGGACATTTGATGTTGTAAAGCTGCTTATGCGCCGTCCACGTTGCAGCTTTTGCTGTCGTCTTTCTCGTTTCTGAAGTTCTGCCAGCCCATTCTCAAGTTTCCCCTAACCTGGACTGCCCGCCAACCTAACAAGCTGTGTGCTGTCGAACTTGACTTGGCCATCTTGGGCGAGTGCAGGCTTCTTCCTCTCATGGGAACCGAGCTTGTTAGCCCACCTTCGCCAACGTTGCCTCCCGTAAGCCGCAACCGCCACTTGGCCAAACAGCATGTGAACTCACAGTGCAGACCTACCTGAAAGTTTCTCATAGCCAATCAGAGTTCTGGAAGGTTCAGGTGCCATTGAACCATGGAACTTTTGGCTCCTTCTTGCGTCCCTTGTTCTGTCAGGGCCAGTCTACTACATCAATGCTGCTTGGATGAGATTTGGCTTGCTACTTACTTGCGGTAGAGAGAGGTTTGGGACATGGTCTGCGCATGCGGCCAAAGCAGACGCATCACTCAGAACCCGCAAAGAAAGACGGAAAGCTAGCAGTTGCCACAAACTGCATGACAGAGAATGTCCGAGCTCTGGGCCATGTCTAGATTTCGCTCACGATGCAAGCCAGTGTTGGCCAAAGATGCAGGGTTGCCGCGGAGTGTTGGAGAGATTGTCACTGAAGCTGACAGGCGGGAGCGGATTGGGCCGGCAGTGACTCCTACTGAGCTTGCCTGCCCAGCCTGGACCAGTACATCAGATAAGTTGGATAAACCAGTCCAGGAGGTCGCAGAGCATCAGTGATGGGTAGGCTTGCTACTGCAAGAGTAGCCAACCTCCAAGTTACACTGACACACGGCGGCTTCTCAACACTGGACCTGCGCCTGTTCACTTAGGACTGATGTGGAATTCCATGCGAGTAAAGGACGTTACTTACCTTAGTAACCTTAGTGTGTTGAGAGGCCCTTTGGCATGTACGGATTCCGGACCAATGTTTCTTCATTTGAATGTGTGCAAGCTGTGCCATGGCAACAAAGAGACTGCCTCCCTTAAAAGGCGGAGTAGACGGCTTCGTCACAGCTTCTGGAAGTCTTGTCGCCAGGGATATCTTGCCTGTTGACATTAAACTGCAACTCGATGCAGACGTTTCACCTTCAAAGCCACATGGCTTGTCTCACCGAATCCCTTAAAAGCCACAGCCCTAGCATTCAGCTGATGCTGCAGCAGCTTCATGTCTGCTTACAGGCTGCTTTCACTGCTGATGCGCTCGAGATGCGCAACGAAGCCAGAGAGCTTGCTCGATGCGCTGCCATGCCACTATTGGTCCATGTGCCCCACTCATTACACGGTCTAGTGAGGCCTAATGCTTAGGCTTCAATAATTTGATTGCTTCGCGTCGAGCACCTGTTTTTGATCAAGGCATTAGTCCTTTGATCTCCTTGCACGCAAGTGCTGCGATCTGCATTCAGCTGAGCCACGGCAACTACCGTAGTCTGCATGAGAGTTGTACAGCTGCTCAGCCTCTACGGAAAATTTGAAGCGATCGAATCCAGAGATAGAAGTTTGTACTTATACCTATACACTTACAGATATACATACGTACAGACAGTCTGTCTGAACCTTTTGGCGATTGTTCATGTGCCTTCTTGTCGTACAGTATCGAGCACTTGAGATGCCAATCTTGTTCTGTATTCTGTATTGCTCAGTTCGAAGAACGGGCTTCGGCGCTGACAGGGGAACCTGAGTCGCTGTGAGAGAGAGAGAGAGAGTCAGACAGACTGAAAAAGTAACTGAGGTCTTCCAAGTAGATACACACAAGGCACACCTAAGTGTTCCCAAGCTGCATCAACACAAGTCCTTTATGCCGCAGGCGCGATCAAGTCTTGAGCCAACATAAGTTGGCATATCATGACTCACCTAAGTGATCACAGGGAAGTGCATGTTT